TAAAAAAGATGGGCTGTAAATTTTGTGCAATCGTGGGTGGGATCAGGGAAAGCTTTCACACTCACTGGTTAATCTCTCCAATGGATAGCAGAGAAAACAGGTGTTTAAGCTGTCTCAGAGCAGAATAGAGACAGGTGCATTTCGAGGAACGGAATTGGTAACTGACTCGCACCACCTCAATGAATGGCTACTTAACCCTATCCATACGTCCTGTTTTACTACCTTTACAAGGGAACTCTGTAGTGCCACCACTTTCCAATGAGGAAATTTACTCATTAATCCGATCCGTGCGCTTTGCGTAGCTGTCTGTCAAAATGATTTTTGGAGAAATACTGAAAGTTTCAAAGAGATCTTCGTACTTGAAGTATTTCAAAATGAGAAGAATACAACCCCAGGGGTACAAAATGATCCCAGAGCGTACGGATAGGGTTAACCGGCCTGCCTCTCGGAATTACGGTTAACCACCAAGCGCGAAGATCATTATACAACTTACCGGTAATGTTCGGGTGTTTCCGCCAGTCTGAGACGTAAACATCGGGTCACTTCCGGCCTCTGTCGAATGTCTTGCCTTGGAGTCTTGAAGACGAATTGAACAAAATGGCACGCAAGAACAACTTACGCTCAGGTAAAACTGTTTTTACAGTTTGAATAGGAGTCAGTTGCAATACATTTGTCGTGAATTTGTTTGAATTGAAGTTGAGCTTGCGCTTCAGATAGATTTCATTTATGATTACTTGGACGATCTTATTCTTTCTGTCACTCCCAACTTTGCTTACTCGACTGATTTTTCGCTGCACAGCTGACTGTGTAGGCCTACAGATATATATTATTCTCAGATCTGGCCTTATACTACTACTAAATCTAGAAGTAGAGTGTACGTCTTGGCCTTGAATCTATGTCTACTGTTATGGTTCTTAAGTCGGAACATAAGGTTCATGTTTTGATTTCAAGCCATTACTACAGAGTGTTTATCGTCCTATGCAATGCAGGGGCAATGTACTTAGACTCTAACTCTAAGACTTTAGTAAACAACAGTGTATTACAATTGTTAGTGAAAACAAAAAACAACCCACCATGGCCTGGTAGGCCTGTGAAGTGAGGGAGTAGTCGGCTCGATCACATCGATCCCTTAAGACGATCGCTCGGCTCGATCCCTTTCTTGACGATCATCCTGATCATGATTGCTCATTCAATCGCTCCACCCTGAGTCGCTCACTACTCACTCCCTCAATTGCTCGTTTGATTGTCCGTCTTGAAGAAAAAGACCCACCGTCTCCAAACGTAGCACTATAACGCGTCCACAATTTAAAGATGCATATCTCCGTAAAACAATATTATTTTCAGACACAAGCGTGGAAAAGCAAAAACAAATGGCCACCTCTATTCTCACCCCGAGTGAGAATAGTGCAGGGCAGGCAAGCCTTTTGGCTATTCTCAACCGGTGTGCGGTCACTGTGATAGCCTAGGACAACCAGTGTAGCGTTCACCGCGATCCACAGAATTCTACACTGTGATGACAGTAGAAGTGTAGAATTCTGTGCCGTGAACAAACGTTCCAGCGCTCGTTAAAAGCGTGCAATTTTGTCTGTGGGCAGAGAGAGAGAGAGAGAGGAGTAGCGCAAGAACTTCCGGGCAAAACAAATTGGCGACCCGCGTAGTTCGGCTCGATTCGAAAAAGTTAAATCGCCGTAGCATCTTTGAAGACGACCAAATTTACTTAAATTGTGTTTTAACATCTTTTTTTTATCTCTTTGTTTTGTTCAATTTGATTGTCCACACCGATAGATAGTATGCAGAAAGAGAGAGAGAAAGGAGGAGTAGATCTTGCGAGAACTTCTGGGCAAAACAAAATGGCGACCCACGTAGTTCGGCTCAATTCGAAAAGTGAAATAGCCATGGCATCTGTGTAGACAATCAAATTAGCTTACTTTTGTGATATTAAAGTAATTTTTTCTTTGCTTATTTTGTCAATTTTATTATCCATGCAGATAGACAGTGTTCCAAAATTAGGACCTGAAAAAGAGGTTTTGTTTCACACTGTGAGAATAGCCAACACTGGCAAGTCTCACCCGGGGTGGGAGGTCGATCGTATTGTTATTCTCACCCCAGGTGGGGATAGCCACTTCCAAAACAAAAACAAGAAAGACAAAGAGCTGGGAGGACCAACAGGATCGTGATCGAGCCGAGCCGGTGGTTTTACTCCTTTATCCCATGATAAAAATACGCATGATAGGCCTGTGAAGTGAGCGACTGGATCGGTTCGATCCCGATCATGATCGGCTTGCCGATCTCCAATCCTTGTGGATCGGGATCACGCGCAACCATATGGTCTGGAGCCAGGCTAGGTCTACTGGGTCTACTCCTACACTTCTATGATAATGAGTTATTATAGCTTTGCTATCTCTGCAAGTTCTGTTATTTTCTGATATTTGATTCTTTTCTTCGAGCTGTCTTTATAGTTTTAACTTAATGTAAGTTAACTGGAGTTCTACGGGTAGAATTTGCAGTCTCTGGCAAAGAAATGGTCATCACCTAAAAAAAGGCTTCTACACACTGAACTGGGTTCTCAGGGAGATTTTATGGGGCACCCTCTCAGCGTCTACTTAGTGGATTCCTTTGTTTAGTCTTCGATGACATAATGACCAATTGGAGATACTTACACCAGAGGAAGATGGAGAGTTTGCTTTTTAAAAAAATCAGTTCAAACATGATGTCGTCAAGTGTGTGTGTCAATGTGTGCATTGTTTCGGATGCAAGTGTATAAAACTAGAGGATCATGAGGGAATTATTATGACGCGACATTGTCATTCTGATTTCATAGAGTATTGAAACTATGAAAACGACTCCTGCTGCAACTCTGGGTGAAAGTATATGGGATGAATTGCCCTGAATGGGTCAACTTTTAATATATAATACATATTTCGCGATTGGACGTTTTGACCATGTGCCATGTGAAAGGAGCAAGTGATTGTGCCAATTGAAAACCACTTAACGATTGACTCGCACGACAGAGCTGGGGAGTGTGCTTAATAAAGCACTGGATGTCTGTAATACCTTGCTGTGCGTAGATTTTATCGTCTGCTCATTCTCATCCTCACCGATCTCTATCCCCTCCACCCTAACCCACTCAATGGTTAGTTTTTATGGTAAAGCAACTCAGAAAAGTTAATTGCCCTGTTCACAAACTGGATTCTTAAGTGTATTTCTAATTTTACTCCTATTTGTGAGTGGGTGGTTGGCCGGTGCTCTGGTGTGGTTTACTCCTTCTTTCCTATCAAACATCTATCGTCTTTCTCTCCCCTCCTTCTTTTTTTTTGTTTGTTACTCTCTTGCAACACCTCTAATCTTCGGCACTTTTGACTTATATATATATATGACCTTATTGTGTGGCTAGTACTGCAAAACACTTGATAAAAAAAAAGACTTGCCCCTCATATTGAATACTGCTACAACTACTTCTTCTACAGGTTACTACTGCTTCTTACTTCTTTTATTAGACCAAAATGCTGCTTCTCCAACTAGAAGAACCTCTTCCAGTTCTGTTAAGATGAGACACTTGGGTTTTTCTTGCCTCTTTTAAGTTTGGTTTTCTTTCCCTTCCTTTACTCAAGAGTTAGGCTTTACAATTTTCTGTAACTATAAAACTCGGTATACGTATGTTGGGTAAAGGTGAAAATGGTCCTTCTTTAGGCAGCTTTTGCACCGACTTTACAGTAACTGCTCACATATAAGCTGATCCCTACCTATGTATTTCCACCACAACCACTGACCTTTATCAACATGCAACATGAAAAGTGCTGTCACTTTCCCTTTCCTAAAGGATTTTAAATCAGAATTTTATCTTATTTTTACACTACTTTTAAATTAATGTACAAGGTTCATGTTCTCTAAGCAGGCTTTCGCAAAATTTGACGTACAGTGCAAAAATATATTCTAATGTTTGTGGTCAGTAGAAGAAATGTAAGGCCTTCTGACATTGTTTTATGACATAAAATTTAACATTTATACATACATACATATTCATGATACATTCTTTTTTTATTCAGTATTGGAATGAAAATATGTTTTATGTGCAGCTATCTACATAAATGTTTTGATTTCGCTGTGCATGAAGAGTAAGAAATGTATTAATACCTCCTGTAAAGAATTGATTGTGCTGTAATTTCGGTTAACTCTATTCATCAGTGTGATGTTTGTTTTATTGTGCAAAGATAGTGGTGGGTGGTTAGCGGCTGCTCTGGTGTGGTTTGCTTCTTTTTTCCTATGAAACATCTATCATCCTTATCTCCCCTTCTTCTTTTTAAAAAGTTTTTTACTCTCTTGTAACTCTTCAAATCTTCTGGTGCTCATATGACCTTATGCAGTTGCGAGCGCCGTAAAACCTCTACTAAAACAAAAAAAGATAGAGTGTGTGGAAGGGAGGAGGAAAAGGGGGGGGGGGAAGAAGAAGAATAGAGAGACTCGGTTGTTTGTATGTCTTAGGCCCATGCAGCTTTCACAATGGGATTATATTTGTCAATCCGATCAAACTGCATGGGATGGGGATGGGTGGTTGACGGGTGCTCTGGTGTGGTTTGCTTCTTCTTTTCTATCAAACATCTATCGTCCTTATCTCCCCTCCTTCTTTTTTATGTTTGTTACTCTCTTGTAACACCTCGAATCTTCTAGCGCTCATATGACCTTATGCAGTTGCGAGCGCCCTAAAACCTCTGCTAAAACTAAAAACTGCATGGTCTGCATTTTTATTGAAGGTATAGAAAGGATTTTAAAAGATAAAAGTAATTGTCTTATGGAGGGACTGTCATTGTAATTTTCTGTTTTCCTTTCTGTCTGTCTCTTTCTTCTCTCTCACACACCAAAAATAGACACTGTTTTGACCGTTGCTTCTGAAATTCATTTTATAATCTTTTTGTTACTTTTGCAGAGGCCTCAGGTTCTATTCATTTTGATACAGCGACAAAGACAGTAATGGCGGAGACCTCTCACGACAATGTCAAAGAAAAGGTGAGTAGATTTGAGCTATGCAATTATTTTTACCCCACATTAAAATGCAAACTTGCCTTTTTGAGGTGACTTAAGCACGATTTTATTTGAAATCAGGTTGGGTTTTTTTGGAGCTTGGACCTTTTTTGGGGGGGGGGGGAGGCCTATCTATGAATTCTTTTAGAAAAGATCTGTTTCGGTTTACCAATTACAGTAAAACCGCAGTATAACGTACTTGGCCTAAAACGTACTCTTGGCTGTAACAATCACCTTCTGAAATCCGTATTCCCATTTACTATTTCTGCTCTTTAAAAGCTGTCACGTTTAAAACCTGCCTGCACAAAATGTTCTTTTTGCTGTAACATTCACTTTTCTTGGGATTTTTAGGGATCAAAAGTCTGTTAACAGCGTACATTTTAATTTGTGAAAATAATGAGAAATGACAAAACAATAGTTTTGCAGTGTACTCAGAAATGCAATGTATGTAATCAACAACAGCGAAAGGGCAGCTTTTGCTCCAAGTATATTTGGTCACTTTTAAGGACGAGTGGGCTAACCCAGATTTCGGGGGTTTCCAGAAATCTTGACCTGCACCAAAAGTGAGCATTGCCCTACCTATAGGAGAAGTTTGGTTTCATTGGTGTGTATATTTTGTTTGGTTATAGAGGAAACCCTCCTTGTCTTTTAAAGATAAATTTCATGGGTCCAAAAACTTTACCTTCGATTTTCTCCAAATAGCATTTTTCAGGATAGCCCCCTTGTGCTTATCCCATGATAAAAATACGCATGA